GCACAGGTGTACCACCCCCCATCTCCCTATGAGGGGGTGAGGGATGACCGTGACCTGCCCGGGAGCGGGACGCGGGAAATAAATCGCTTAGTTAGGGAAATCACTGATCAGAAGTGGGGCGCGGGTTTAAATATAGAGTTAAGATAAGTAAAGAAATATAGTTTTGGTGAATGTGAATAAAAAAATAATAGAAGAAATTTATTTTACGAGCAAAGGTGATTGTAGTTTTGTCAGTGTATTTAGATACCTGAAAACTTAATTATCTTCACGTGCCGAAGTTTCTTATGTAATGAGATGTAATATTTTATAACCGAGTAATTAATAATGACTGGTTTTCTTTGTTTCTAATAGTTTTTTTACTGTAGTTTACTATTTCACAGCTAAGCTACTGTACAGTACAGCCAACAACACATCAGAATATTATACACTTTTATTGCAAAATAACACTAATACAACCAGTATTTTGCTTGACGCGCCGTCGCGCATATTGTTGTAATTGTCGAATAATCTAGGCCAAACAAACACACCGTTACTTAACATACACGAAACGTACAGTAATCCTGTACACGACAAATGACGTACATAGAAAACAAAAGACCTTTCCAGTCCATTTCCGTTACTCAAACAAAGTGGAATTACAAAATAAGCAGATTAATAAAAGGCCCTCCTGCCGACTGCCCTCCGGCCTGTAACCTTTGTTTTACTGATCATATATGTATTCATTAGCGAACAATTGCTGGCATTCTCGGTATTTTTGGTTCGTTAAACAAAACATGAACTGCTTTTAATGAAAGGTTACATATAAATTAATAAATGTAAAGCGCTCGAAGACCATTAACCGCGCTAATTAACCCTGTGCGACCCGAAACGGGGTGATTCTGGTTCTCTATTAATTAGTACCTTTTGTATGATACCAATATCAAAATATGAGGAGTTCTTATACAAATTGTAATAGCTGATTGGCCAATTAGTACTATGAGAATCATCTTTCGTATTTCGGGATAAAATCATTTAACTACTTATACAATAAGCAGATTCGCACGAATATTTATTTAGTCGTCATAGAAATACATACCGGTTCTTTGTTTAAGATGTAGGATATGGCTCTAGCATGAAATCTTTAGAGTAGGTTATTCTAGATATGCAAATGTGTTAATTTTAATACAAACAACTTAGCCTTTATAATATAAAGCAGATTAATTACCCGGCGCGGAGTTAATCATCTTCCAGCTGAGAACGTGACGGTTCTTAGAACTCTATCAAACATAATTAAACCCAGCACGCCAGGAAATTATATCGGTTGTAGGTATAATATAATACGATTATCTGATTTTATTCTGTACTAGCTTTCCGCCCGCGGCTTCGCCCGCGTGGAATTTTGTGTGTCACAGAAAAACTTTATCGCGCGCGTCCCTGTTTCAAAAACCGGGATAAAAACTATCCTATGTTCTTTCCCGGGACTCAAACTATCTCTATGCCAAATTTCATCAAAATCGGTTGCGAGGTTTAAGCGGGAAAGCGTAACAGACAGACAGACAGACAGACAGACAGACAGACAGACAGACAGACAGACAGAGTTACTTTCGCATTTATAATATTAGTTGGGATACTGATTAATAACTTTTGTCTGGTTGTTATTCAGAAAAACAATTGAAAACAAGCGTTTGGAAAATACACTACCACAACAAGTCTCTGCTTACGAAAATCGTATTATTTTATACCACAAGCATCATTCTTGTTTTTTTTTTCATTTATTTAGAAAATCCAGAGCTTTACAGTGTGTACTAAAAACAAGTTAGGCAACGGGTAAAAAAAGTAATTTACTTGATGAGTCTGATTTTAACTTGATTCGATATCACAGATAGTTAAATAGATAGTGCCATAACTTTATTCTTGCGATGCAGAAATAAACAGCATTTCGTGTAAAGTTACATCTAGTGGTGATATGTGACTTCATGCATTGACCATAAAGGCTCTTCTTTACTCCTCATATTGCAACTGGTTTTTCTTTTTTTTGTTAGTAAGTGTTATTGAGTTTACTTGCAATGGAAGCTAGCGGAGTACTAATACCAAGTTTTATCATGATCCGCGTGGATCATGAACCGATCGCGGCATTCGCGGCTAATCACCCGCGTAATTAATTGAATGAGTGGCCGAGCACAGCGCGATAGTGACCAAGCACGTGTTAAGTTTAACACACTCGACGCATCACGTGCACCTCGGCTCGCAGATAACTGTACAGTCCGCTGCAACGCGTTGTTCATTGCCTTTGTTTTATCTAGGAACAAGTATTGATCGGGTGTTATTGATGTTTGGGTTACGACAAGTATTGGCGTAGGTATATAGGGTTATTTTTCATGTAGCTTTTATATTTCCAAGATTTTAGACCAGTTTGGGGTACCCGGCCTCTCCTATATACGCGCATGACGACAAGTACCTACAAGTATCCGATCTGAAAGAGGAATTTTTTATGGGATCTTTTTGTTTTTGCAATTTTTCGTTCATTCATATTGCTCAATGCATTAGTCAATACATATTATTATGTGCCTCACTGTACGTTTACATCGCACATAACTTGCAACAAGTGATTATTTGATCTCTTATAACTTCCTTGAGTTGCATTTGTCGCGAGTCTAGAAAATAACTGACTAAAGTATAACTTCACGCTCATACTATTGTGGGACATGTTATATTAGAGAATAATAAGTGAGAATATTAAGATTTGGTTATGAGTATGGTTATTGGAACCTCCCACTTCCCCAAATTCCCCACTCAATTAGTGTAGAATGAAACTTAAGAAATATCAAGCAAAAGAGTCTTCTAGGCTCGAGCAAAAAATTAATTTTATTGTTTTAAGCACTAGGACAGGAAATAATTAGGTCTCTCTGTAAACAATCGCGTTATACTCTAAAATGAAATAAGTAGCAGTTTACATTTTTTTAAACTAACGAAAGTGAGTTATGGGCACACTCATTACTTCATATGGCCAAAAGAATGTAGATTATAAGTAAAATACTTACGCAAACAGTAATTTATTGTAAAATAATGTTTTGACTGGTATAGCAAATAAACGAATGTAAAAGACATGAAGCAGTGTGGGCGTAATTCTTAATTGCATTTTCATCGTAATTAAATTAAATCCGAGCTGCATTGAGTATTAAGAAACGTGTAAAGGAATTATTGAATAAGTAGCTTAAAAAGAATCTACCGTTAAATTCAACATAGGTACTTACCTACATAATACTTTCAATTGCAGTTGGATATTTTGTTAGTTACGTCGTGCTTAGGTATGAACATTCGCGTATCGCGTGTGATTTCAATCGTACCCTAATGGAAAGTGACCATTGCTCATTAAAATACTATGATGTACCTTTAAACTTACAAAAGATAATCTGAATAGACTAAGAATACTTAGAATACTTAGAAGCTTCCGTACTGTATAATTTATCTACTGTGGCAATAGCCACAGTAGATAAATTATACAGTACGGAAGCTTCATACAAACGCTCGAAATCAGACTCACGCACACAGACGCACGCTTTACACGAGCTCTAAGCGAACCTCGCAGTCCATCCGACGCGCGCGGGTGTCGCGCGCGGTGTGTTTTTAATAATAATTTTAAAATGCTTACGTCTGATTTTGTATAGTTCTTTCTTTGTAAAATTACGTAATAATTACGATTCTTAACAATTTAAGTGTTCTATTTGATATTAGATAAAGTAATTTGATTTGATAGTTTGTTTGTATGTAACATCTTATACATAATTAACAAAAAATAAAGACATCACAATATTATGTTAATTGTTAAACATTTTTTTTATTACCTTACACATTTTTTTTGGAAACTAAGTACTGATAATGGTGAAAAATCCAAAATGTTAAAAACCGGTATCGTTATAATCTTTCGGCTGAAACGAACAAACGAACGAAGATATTTGATAATTATTGAACCTAAATAAACGTTTTAATAAATAAGTAAGTAAAACCTTATTAATTTAAAAAAAAGATTACGAGTACAACCCTAACACTCAGTCGACGTGTAGGTATTTAACTCGACGAAAGGGCCTAGTTTCCGTACTGCTTTAGCTCATATACAGTGTGTCCNCTATAACTCGATTGATGGTTTCATTTAATTTATTTAAACCAGGTTACCTAAAATAATATTTTTTCGTTAATTTATGAAAATATCAAATTAGCCCGTAATCCTGTATCCTGATACATAAAGTTAGCCTATTAATTTAACACAGGTACGACTGTACTCAGTGTTGCACTATCAAATGCAATTGACGCTCCTCTATGCCAGGGTTTTTATGTTCCTGGTCAGGCTATAAAAGATATGAAGCAGTGTGGGCGTAATTCTTAATTGCGTTTTCATCGTAATTAAATTAAATCCGAGCTGCATTGAGTATTAAGATACGGGTAAAGGAATTATTGAATGGTCGCTTAAAGATAAATCTACCGTTAAATTCAACATAGGTACTTACCTAGATAATACTTTCAATTGCAGTTGGATATTTTGTTAGTTACGTCATGCTTAGGTATTAAAATTCGCGTATCGCGTGTGATTTCTATCGTACCCTGATGGAAAGTGACCATTGCTCATTAAAATACTATGATGTACCTTTAAACTTACAAAAGATAATCTGACTAGACTAAGTATTGCCCACATTCGGTTACACAAACATTGAATAAAACCTTTTAAACTGAATGCGTTTCTAGCGCTGCTTCTCATCACTGGCCCTTTGACCCGGAGCAATGGTAGAGTAAAGTTATGCCGGGACAAGCGCTTTACAAAAGCTTATTTTCAGAGTATATTAGATTTAGACTTTAAAACTCTCGGTTATTGGAGTAAAATGCACATTGTTGAAGTGCAAGAATATCAAGTATGATCCATGTAAGAACCACTTCTTAACTCTTTATTTCTTTCAAGACATATACTGATTAAACCCAATATCTACGTAAAGGTCCTGAGCCCCAACTAACAAGGTGTCCTCTTCCAGACCAGTTTACCCTGGACAGCGAGTACATCAAGCGGTACCTGGGCGAGCTGACGCCGGTGCAGGAGTCGCGCCTGCTGCAGCTTAGGAAGTGGATCGCTGACCTGCAGAAGGGGAAGGTAATACAAGAATACGTTTATAAGAAATGCTACTTTTTCATTCTTCTTTTTCTTCCTGGAAACCTGAACAGCCAATTGCAGCCTTCGAAGCAAATTCTTACAGCATACCTAAGTCCGCCTTGATCCGCATGATAGTAGAGGATAAACTCTTGACATAAGTAGCTATTCCATTTACTCTGTGAAATGGTGTACATACTTCAAATAAAAAACTCCTGCTCATCTTTGATTACCACTGGTTGGATTTCATTGCCTCTTAATTAAAGTTAGAGATCCTTTGGAGTTTTGGAAACGAAGGTTAGAATTCTTGTAATATTGTGTTTGTTGCGGAGTTCCTCCGAAAAACGTTATCCGAAGTTTCGAATGTTGCCATCCTTCTCACGTAAAGCGAGATGCTAGCATGAGCAATGGTGAGAGATATAAGACCTGAATCTACATAAACAGCGTTTCGAAGTAGTCCTGCTGTTCTTAGAAGCTTTCATATATGTTATACCGGTCATAAGTTATATATATGTTATACCGGTTATAAGTTACGTTGACCTCTAAACCACTTCTTCCAGGTGCCAAGCGACACGACGCTACTCCGTTTCCTACGCGCGCGAGACTTCAACGTGGAGAAAGCGCGCGAGATGCTCTCCCAGTCGCTCCTCTGGCGCAAGAAGCACCAGGTGGACCGCATCCTCTCGGAGTACGAGACCCCGGACGTCGTGAAGCAGTATTTCCCTGGAGGCTGGCATCATCACGACAAGGGTGAGATGACGTCACCATTGTATACTACAGAAACTGCCATTGGCTTCTGAATATCGTGCCTAATCTCCAACGACTAAAGACTTGAGTTGCCTGGACTTAGTTTAGCGGGGCAATCGAAACCGCACTAAGCTTCTTGGTTGGCCCATTGTTGTGCGTTGCTTGGACTTCGATCGTATTCTATCTTCGGTCCCGCTCTGTAAAAAGTCCTATAAGATATATCGTTGATGGATTTCGAAGTAGTTGCAGTACCTACCTACCTATACTTCTTTTTGATTTCAAGAAATGTAGTCAAACGCTCAGAATGCTAATGTAAAAGTTGTTCTTATTTGCAGACGGATGTCCGCTGTACATTCTCAGACTTGGCCAGATGGACGTGAAAGGACTGTTGAAATCCATCGGGGAAGACGGCCTCTTAAAGTTGGTGAGTTACCCTCTATCTAGACCAATTAAATACAGCTTTTATCTTCGCTGTTAAATTACAAATTTTTCAAGTATTCAAAGGTCCTATAAGGCTACCTCTTCTTTCAAGCTATAAGACATCCACAACTAGACACAGGTCTCCAAAGCAATTTCACAACGACTGGTCCCGTATTTTGTAAGATTCACAGTCTTTAAACTCGTGTCAATCAATTCCAGACTCTTCACGTATGCGAAGAGGGTTTAAAACTGCTGGAAGAGGCGACGCGCTCATCCGAGCACGCCGTCCAGTCGTGGTGCATGCTGGTAGACCTGGATGGGTTGAACATGCGCCATCTTTGGCGGCCAGGCGTACGGGCGCTTTTGCGTATCATCCAGGTCGTGGAGGCCAATTACCCGGAGACCATGGGACGCGTGCTCATTGTACGAGCGCCGAGAGTCTTCCCTATATTGTGGACCATTGTTAGCACCTTCATAGGTGAGTGAGACTGTCCTTTGACGCCATCCAGTCCAGTCCGTATCATCCAGGTCGTGGAGGCTAACTACCCGGAGACCATGGGACGGGTGCTCATTGTACGAGCGCCGTGAGTCTTCCCTATATTGTGGACGATTGTCAGCACCTTCATAGGTGAGTGAGACTGTCTAGAGTTGTTCTTTGACGCCATCCAGTCCAGTCCTTATCATCCAGGTCGTGGAGGCCAATTATCCGGAGACCATGGGACGGGTGCTCATTGTACGAGCGCTGATAGTCTTCCCTATACTGTGGACCATTGTCAGCACCTTCATAGGTGAGTGAGACTGTCTAGAGTTGTTCTTTCATGCCCGTGCCTCTGCTACTCATCATCCAGGTCGTGGAGGCCAATTATCCGGAGACCATGGGACAGGTGCTCATTGTGCGAGCGCCGAGAGTCTTCCCTATATTGTGGACCATTGTCAGCACCTTCATAGGTGAGTGAGACTGTCCTTTGACGCCATCCAGTCCAGTCCGTATCATCCAGATCGTGGAGGTCTATTACCCGGAGACCATGGGACGGGTGCTCATTGGACGAGCGCTGAGAGTCTTCCCTATATTATGGACCATTGTCAGCACCTTCATAGGTGAGTGAGACTGTCTAGAGTTGGTCTTTCATGCCTGTGCCTCTACTGTGCATCATCCAAAGGCCTTCGTGGAGGCCAGCTACCCGTACTGTAGACAAATGTCAGAACCTTTATTGGTGAACGAGTCTCAAGCGTGGTATTTGTGGAAGCTCGACTAATGCCACTTCTGGATATAATATCGTGGAGGCGATACACCCAGAGACACGTTAAGGACCGTAGATAATTGAGCACGTGTGCTCCAAGGCTTTTCCTATACTGTTGACCGTTGACAGCACTTGATGAGGTCGTTTGATAAGGTGGGTCGTGTATTGAATTACAATGCTAGTTGTCAATGTGAAATATGATGAGCGAGTATATATTTTATAACCTCCGGGTATGAAACGTTATCTAGATGCACTTTACATACATTTGTCCTTATCCAGTTATAAATAATATACTCGATACTCGTAGCTTTGCTAAGATTCTAGCTAGGTATTTCATTGATTCGTCAACAATTTATTCATTATCATTTCAGATGAGAACACTCGCAGCAAGTTCCTGTTCTACGGCGGCAAAGACTACCTTCAACCGGGAGGACTGACCGACTATATCCCCAAGGACCTCATCCCAGACTTCTTGGGGGGACCTTGCAAGGTACGTTCCTTAACCCGTTGTATTGGAGTGAAGCTTGTGCATGGATTGAAAGATATTTTTCATAGACTGTTATTGCATGGAACTGGACCTTGGAAGAATCCATCGGACACTAATGTTTGATAGTTCTCGCCTATAATCTCAGATATGAATTGAGATATTTACAGTAAATCACATCAATCAGTGGAAATTGATCATATTAAGGATAACAATATTAAAATATGAGTTATTTTGTGCTGGTAATGGATTGTTAAATCCCGTGCTGAACCTCCCGGTTTGAATCACCTGGGTAATTAATATTTTGAGGCTTTTATTTCAATTTTAGCCGACTACAAAAACTAAAGTTATGTTTTGTATTACCTTGATGTTTTTTTGTGATTTACTATCGGAATTACTTTAGTTGTTTCATGATTATTAGATTATACGTAGTTATATGGAATGAGTTACATTTAATTTTGATTTTCTTTTACAATACCCGCGGCAGTCGGACATAGTAATGCTGGCAGCGTTCGTCCCTCAACAGTTTTACGATATAGTACGCCGTGAGACAGACCTTATAATACTTGTGTGCACATGTACTTGTGCTCGTTCTCGACTAAAGCCCGGTCTGTGAGCACGTAGAATTTTGTCCAATGACCCCAAGCTACCCATCCTTATCGGTCGCGCGTAATTATATTGCTGTCGCGACTGTGCGACGGGCGCCCGCAGTGAGTGTGCGAGCGCGACAGCAACATAATTACGTGCTCACAGACCAGACTATACTTGTCATTGATATAATGTTCACTAAACTGTTGTTGTCATTCATTTTTCTTCACACAGTAGAAGTAACTGTGAAGTCATCACACGTGTACATCACATTAGTATGTGTTTTTGTTAGAATTAGGTGACACTACGGTTCGTATCATAAAACAAGACTCATAACTCAAAAAAAGATGCAAACTTTAATCCTTTCTTGAGCTTGAATCACATTTTGAGTGTGGTTTCTTAATACGACCTTACGTTTATTATCATACCCTGCATAGATGGCTAGGCTGCAAACGTTTATCACTTAACTTTTCTTAAGGAATTCCAGTATTTTCTTTTTGTTTTCTATTTCTAAACTCAAAAATATCTTAAAACTTAAAAATCCAAGACTATGATTGGATTCTTCAATATGATCTGTATATTTTTTATTTACTTTATTTCTCAAATCTATCTATACCCACAGGAGGATTTCAATAATGCGAATATTGTCGAATATTCCCGGTATTATACACCTCTACCTACTTCTAACATTAAGTTCTCTCGCCACAGAGCTTCGTGCACGAGGGTGGACTGGTTCCCAAGAGCCTGTATGTGGCGGGCGCCTTCACCGAGCGCGATGGAGACCCGCTGAGTGAAGACAGCGTCTACAGATGCGTCAGCCTGGGCAAGGGACAGGTAAACTTTTGCCCTTTTATAGAGCTAAGTAAGAGAGATGCATTACGCACGCGTTGTGGTGCCGCAACGAATGTCAACGCCCTTGCCCCTTGTGGCATGTCTTTCAGATTTTTTTGTAGAACTCGCACCGTAGTTACAACATAGAACACGTCGATCGATAGTCTGGAACCAGACTTGTAACAACTTCCACAGTAGTTATAAAGTATCGATTTGTTCAGGTGCACAAGGTGATCGTAGCCAACCGCGACCCGCAGAGCGTGCTGACGTAGGTCTTACAAAAAACAGAAAACTTTAAACCATAGAACTACACTCGTAGGTCAATAGTCTGACACCAGATATGTCCCAACCCCGCCACGAAATCAATTGAAATTGATCCATACTTTTACCATAAGATACATTAGGTACTACTTAATTTCACCTACAAAAAATTGTCCCTACTTTTAGTGGTTAATGCTGGCCGTCGGCACCGACACATGCCATTATGACCCGTTCAGCACTACTATTAACGCTCGTTTTTCTATGACGACCGACAGCGCTGCTCCGTTGAATAGTCGTACTAGTGATATTGTCGGTGTTGACGGTAGACAGCAAAAATGTTCATCGTTTGTTTTTGTGTTATTTAAGGTATCAAGGGTTCTATATTGGCTCACATAAAATTCNATGAATTTTAATTTCTGTGACGGGTCTGGGTGTGACTATGTATAATATTTATGTATTTAAAAAAAAAAGTATATAAGTAGTATATCCGTTAAGCTAGCACCCATAACACAAGCATTAAGTTGCTTACTTTGGGGCTAGCTGGCGCTGTGTGAAATTGTCCAAAGATTTATTTATTTATTTATTTATACTCGTAGCTTTGCTAAGATTCTAGCTAGGTATTTCATTGATCTTTGTCAATCATGTATTTATTATCATTTCAGATGAGAACACCCGCAGCAAGTTCCTGTTCTACGGCGGCAAAGACTACCTTCAGCCGGGAGGGCTGACTGACTACATCCCCAAGGACCTCATCCCAGACTTCTTGGGGGGACCATGCAAGGTACGTTCCTAAACCCCCTGCATGGTGGTGAAGCTTCTGCATGGATTGAAAGATATTTTTCATAGACTATTGTTGCATGGAACTGAACCTTGGAAGAATCCATTGGACACCACACCAATGTTTGATAGTTCTCGCCTATAATCTCAGACATGAATTGAGATATTTACAGTACCTAAATGATGTCATTCAATATAAATTGATCATTTTAAGGACATCAACTAAACATGAGTTGTTTTGTGCTGGTTTTGGATTGTTAACTCCCGTGCTGAACGTCCCGGTTTGAATAACCTGGCTAATAAATATTTTGAGGATTTTATTTCGATTTTAACCGACTACAAAAACTAGTTATGTTTTGTATTACCTTGATGATTTTTTGTGATTTACTTTATTACTTAATTACTTTAGTTGTTTTATTATACGTAGTATACGGAATGAGTTTTAATTTTGATTTTCTTTTACAATCCCGCGGCAGACGGACATAGTAATGCTGGCAGCGTTCGTCCCTCAACAGTTTTACGATATAGTACGCCGTGAGACAGTCCTTATACTTGTTTGCACATGTATTTGTGCTCGTTCTCATTGATAAAATGTCTAAACTGTTGTCACTCATGTATTCGTTCACACAGTAGAAGTAACTGTGAAGTGTTTCAAGCCATCACTCATGTTCGTCACATTCTATAGTCTGGTCCGGGAGCACGTAGAATTTTGTCCAATGACCCGAAGCTAACCATCCTTATCCCTCGCGCGTATGTTGCTGTAGCGCTCGCACACTCACTGCGGCCGCGCGCCCGTCGCTCAGTCGCGACAGCAATATAATTACGCGCGAGCGATAAGGGTATATTGGATATGGGTAGCTTGGGGTCATTGGACAAAATTCTACGTGCTCCCGGACCAGACTAGTATGTATGTATGTGTTTTTGTCAGAAGGTGTCAAGTTGTTACAGATCGTACTCTGAAACGGAACTCATAACTTGATTCCAACCCCAGCACTGATGCAGGTTTGAATTGAATTTTGATGGTTGTTCCATGTCTATCATCATACCGTACCTAGATGGCTAGGCTGTACGCAAATGTTTATCACTCATATTTTTAAAGCAATTCCAGCCACAATTTTTTTTTCTCTATTTTCTACAACTATTCGTATGCTGAAAAGTCGCCTAAAACTAAGATCAATGGTTTAATCGTCAGATTCGTTCCTTTATTATGATCTATCTAGACTTTAATTTACTTTTATATTAATAACGGGAAGTTTCACAGTAAAGTTCCAATAATGGGAATGTTGGCGACTATCCGCAGTAGTGACCAAAATATTGGTCTACCTACTTCTAACATCAAGTTCTCCCACAGAGCTTCGTGCACGAGGGTGGACTGGTTCCCAAGAGCCTGTACGTGGCGGGCGCCTTCACCGAGCGCGATGGTGACCCGCTAAGTGAAGACAGCGTCTACCGATGCGTCAGCCTGGGCAAGGGACAGGTAATCTTTTGCCAAACTTTGATAGAGCTAAGAATCATGTCACACAGGCGTTACGCGCGCGTTGTGGTGCCGCAACGAATGTCAACGCCCTTGCCCCTTGTGGCATGTCTTTCAGATTTTTTTGTAGAACTCGCACCGTAGTTACAACATAGAACTCGTCGATCGATAGTCTGGAACCAGACTTGTAACAACTTCCACAGTAGTTATAAAGTATCGATTTGTTCAGGTGCACAAGGTGATCGTAGCCAACCGCGACCCGCAGAGCGTGCTGACGTGGTCTGTCACAAGACTTGTCCCATCCCCCCACGAATACAATCAAAATTGATCCCTAATCCTGTAGCTATAAAGTATCAATTTGTTTAGGTACACGAGGTGATCGTGGCCAACCGTGACCCGTAGAGGGTGCTGACGTGGTCTGTCACCAGACATGTCCCATCCCCCCAAGAATACAATCAAAATTGATCCCTAATACTGTAGCCATAAAGCACCAATTTGTTTAGGTGCACGAGGTGATCGTGGCCAACCGCACACGAATTCAATCAAAATTGATCCCTAATACTTTTACTATAACGTACATAATATTTGTTTTGGGTGCACGAGGTGATCGTGGCCAACCGCGACCCGCAGAGCGTGGTGACGTGGGACTTACAAAAAAAAACCAGAAAAGTTTAAACCGTAGAACCACACTCGTAGGTTAATAGTCTGACACCAGATATGTCCCAACCCCGCCACGAAATCAATTGAAATTGATCCATACTTTTACTATAAGATACATTAGGTACCACTTAATGTCACCTACAAAAAATTGTCCCTACTTTTAGTGGTTAATGCTGACCGTCGGCACCGACACATGCCATTATGACCCGTTCAGCACTACTATTAACGCTCGTTTTTTTATGACGCCCGACCGCGCTGCTCCGTTGAATAGTCGTACGAGTGATATTGTCGGTGTTGACGGTAGACAGCAAAAATGTTCATCGTTTGTTTTTGTGTTATTTAAGATATACAAGTGTAAATGTTAATGTAGGTATGTTAAATTCAATCAATTATTTGTATTTGTATATTCTTTAGGTGCACGAGGTGATCGTGGCCAACCGCGACCCGCAGAGCGTGCTGACGTGGGACTTCGACGTGCTGCGCCACGACATCTCCTTCACGGTGTTCCGCACGGCGCACGACCTGCCGCCGGACGATGACAGCACTGGTAAATGACTAGACAAATAACGTCACTGTATAGTTCGAGCGACGAAAGTTGAGGCGAACACGATGCACATACTGACGCAATATTTTCACGAAACACAAAATCTAATAAACTCAAAGGTGACTGCCTGACTGACTGACATAGTGATCTATCAACGCACAGCCCAAACCACAGGACGGACCGGGCTGAAATTTGGCATGCAGGCAGATGTTATGACGTAGGCATCCGCTAAGAAAGGATTTTACGAAACTCCACCCCTAAGGGGGTAAAATGGGATCCACGCGTACGAAGTCTTGGGTGACCGCTAGTAAAAATATATTTATAGGCGCGATTCGACCAAACTTTTATCCGAGAATAACTCCTGGTATAACTGAGCGAGACAAGACAAAGCGTTTGATAATTAGACTACGTTAGACGTCAGCGCGGATACCCTCGATGCAGATACAAATCCTTGCTTGTTGATCGCCTCAACTTTCGTTGCGTGACTTACAAATGGTATAAATAAGCAGCAGCAAAATTTCTAATTTTCATATTTTACACTGGTTTATTACAATGTTTTAAATGACGTTTTGCTGAGAAAAGCTAGTTTTATGTTACGAATTGACAGTCCTGGAATTTTGAAAGTTTTATCATTAAAACCTTATTATGAAAGTAATACGGATTGAACCATTATTGGCCTGTATGCGACATAGAGCTTACAGAGGGTGGGCCCTACCGCGCCGACTACAGGCTCGTGCCGACACTGGAATATGTATGCTCGTGTAGTTTAATACCGAATGAGCGCCGATTGTATTCTCGTGTAGTGTAGTACTGAATGCCGCCGACTTTAGCAGGGGCTCGTATAGGCGGCGCAGTGTAAGCTCGTACCGACACGGGACTTTAGGCTCGTGCCGACATTAGACTAGACTGTAGGCTCGTGTAGTTCAGTACTGAACGCCGCCGACTTTAATGCCGCTCGCTGGTGGAGCGGCGCGGCTGNATTGAAAGCGGCTAATAACTTCATAAAATAACATCAAAGACATGAAAAATCACCTACCTAAAATTCAAAATTTCCAAAGCTTGGTACATGCAAAGCGGCACCCAAAGGCACAAGAATTGTAATTATGTCATCTTGATCGCCGTGTATGGTGCAATAGCTCATGTGAGTACCAGCCCTTCAGTTCTATTCAGTTTAAAAAAAATCCACTTTAAGTGTTTTTTTCCATACAAAAAAAATTAAAATATTTTTTTTCTCAGACATGGAGCTACTCATACCCTTCATACTATATTAGTAAAACAAAGGGAGGTATACTAAACACAATACATATTTTTATTTATTAATTTCTGACATTAAGTTTCTATGGTATGGGAGCTTCATTTTCAGACCACTGTGCGGCGGCATCGCATCGAATTTGGGTTCGTTGGATTTGTCTTTTCGAGCACTTTAGTACTAGATGATGTCCAGGGTCCTGATGATGGAGTCCGGAGGTGGCCATAGGAATTCCAAAACGAAACGGTGGAAACTTATCGAATTTGGGTTTGCTGGATTTGTCTTTTCGAGCACTTTGGTGCTAAATTGCATTGTAATTTAACCAAGTCTCTGAAATTGAGATGCTACTAAAAAGTGTAAAATAAAATTATAATAATTAAAAATCTTTAAAAAAACCGGTCAAGTGCGTGTCGGACTCACGCACAAAGGGTTCCGTACCATTGATTTATGAAATTAAAATTATTATTTTTTTAATTTTAAAGTTATTTGTATGAAAGATTACACGGTAATAAGCGGTTTACGATTTACGAGGTATTAAAAAAAAACCGGCCAAGTGCGTGTCGGACTCACGCACAAAGGGTTCCGTACCATTGATTTATGAAATTATTATTTTTTTAATTTAAGTTATTTAATTTTGTATGAAAGATTACGCGGTAATAAGCGGTTTACGATTTACGAGGTATTAAAAAAAACTACTTACTAGATCTCGTTCAAAACAATTTTCGTTGGTAGTTTTTATAGTAATGTACGTACATCATATTGTTTTTTTTAGATTTTTCATTTTCTGATTTTAGAAGTTAGTAGGCAATTTTTTTTTCACTTTGGAAGCGTCTGTCACGCAAACTATTCGGTTTAGAAAAAAAATATTTTAGAAACCTCGATATCATTTTTGAAGACCTATCCATAGATACCCCATACACGTATTGTTTGATGAAAAAAAAAATTTGAGTTTCAGTTCTAAGTATGGGAAGCCCCCAATATTTTATATTATTTTTTTATTTTTGCATCTAAATATTCTGCGGTTCATAGAATACATCTACCTACCGAGTTTCAACAGTATAGCTCTTAATAGTTTCAGAAAAAAATGGCTGTGACATACGGACGGACAGACAGACATGACGAATCTATAAGGGTTTTTTGCCATTTGGCTACGGAACCCTAACAAGCTTTTATAATGAAATGCAGTTGTACTAAAACGAAAAAAATAATTGTACTTATGCAAGGTTCAAATAATTTCCAAAGCTTGTAGCGCAAACATAAAAGAGGAATAAATTCCATGCGCGATACAAGCTTTCGAAATTATTTGAACATATTATTTTTTTCGTTTTATTATCATGTGTTAACGGATTAACGATTAACGTTAACTTGCGTTAACTCTTGCGAAATGTAACGTTTTAACGTTTAACGAAGTTAATTTTTTTATTAACGGTTTAACGATTAACGAAGTTAACTATTTGATTAACGGTGCCCAGCTATGATGGGAGATGCCTATTAGTCGGTACACAGAGTACCTTAATTCTACTGGTATGTAAAAATGTATCCCATCATACTACCCATAACACATACCCATAAATCTATCATAATCACCTCGGAATGAGATAGATGGTAAGATTCTGGAAGACGCAAAAGACGCCCACGCAAAGGTCTGCCACCGCCAAGTTCGCCAGGAAGAAGTTGGTGATGGACCGCAGGCGCCGGGACAGCGTCACCACCAGGATCACGAGTAAGTTCCCTGCAACAAAACATAATATTAGAAATTATAACTTTTTAGAGGATAATCGGCTGGAAGAGAATGCCATCTGGCATTAAGCTCGCCTTTTTGTAAGATCACTCTTATGTGTGCAATAAAGTCTTTAAATAAATAAATAAATCTTGGTTGAAAAAATAAAGGTTTAGCACATGTATCAACCCGGAAAAGGATCAAAAACTATATCGCATTTCGCCGCGCGGTCAACCGAGGCGAGATGTTTACGACGGTGAGGATAAGCTTGCGTTGCAGTACGGAGTTTCATACGATTCGGATCGATCGATCGATCGATTCGGATATAATGACGTCACGCGGCCTTGCGTACGTTGACTTTTAGCGGCAAAAACGGCCTATGTTTATTACTTAATATCTTCGTAAGTAATGGTCCGATTTGGATAATTCAAAAAGATATATCTTTCTTATGTCTACTTATGTAGTTTTATTGAATTTTCTACAACAGTACTGATCCTCATTGACCGCCTCGAGTTGATACGGTTACAATCCGTTTCCGGGTTGATAAGTGTGTAGGTATACCTAAATAAGCGGGAAGCCCTTCAAGTCCCCCGCGAATCGGGACACAATAGAAATCAATTGTTACGAGGTCTTTTGCGACCGCTTGGGGTTTGACGGGCTAGGCATCCCTGTAATAAATAACAAATCCTTTGCGAGTAAGCTGAAAACGATAGAAAAGTGGTATTTTATTTATTCTACTCGTATATTAAAAATCTGTCCGTATGTTGCAAAATTTTACAGAAATCCATTTCGAAGGATTCGGGCCGTAGGTATCGATTATGTTTGTTTAAACCCTAACTATGCAAAACATTGCTAGTACCTATTCAGAATTTCCATTCCAACCCTGCTTTTACATTTTGTTCAGCTACTTATTTCTACCGTATTCATACCGTGCAATGTCCGGAATCAATAAGGAAAATATAGTAAAACCTCGTCTGTTGAATAAGTAATGCCAAAAAGATTTTCGTAGCATAATAAAAACATAAGCTGTCCCCTGTGTTACTAAAAGGTATGCAAATAAAGGTAAGGATACATTAAAGGAACAAGGCTTAAATAAGGGGTTTTGTAAATGAGTGTCATGTCGCCAACCTTTTACAAAATTTAGGTTAAAACCATGCTACACGCGGAATGAGACGGGTGTGCACTGTGCACTGAGAGACCGCAAAGGACTTAGAATTTTATATAATTATTTTTTTACATCATTTACTTGTTTACCAAGGCTTTGACTTTTCACTTGAATTCTTTTCATCCAGTAGGTACGTACACACTCAAGTGTGTGCCTAGTCACATTGGGTCCGATTCTGTGGAATAGTGCGGTCAGATAGATCTTTTCCATGTCACCACACTCTATTTCGTAATGGTAACAAATGGGAATTCTTTGTAAAATTATTATTTTGCTTTTCAGCATTTTCTTTCTCCACACTTTACTAGGTTAGAGATGAAAATTCTTTATTGAATTATTATTTTGCTTTTAAATATTTTCCATTTTCACTGTAGTAAAGAAGAATGATGGATATGCCGATGTGTTAAGGACAAAATGGATATGCTGATTTGATAGGTTAGGGACGAATAAAATCCAGAATCAGGCCTGCATCGTGCGTGTGGTCCATTACCGGCACAGTAATGTGTTAGCCGCCAGCGCTGCCAGCTGAGAACATAATAGTCTTTTAGCTGCGCATGTCGCTGACAGATCGTCAATTTCAAATGGAACGTTCATTAGATGTACAATGTGAAGGATGCCAACTGGTATTGGGGCCTACTAAATTCAATGGGCGTGGATGCTAACGCGTTAAATTTGTAAAAAGTGCCTTAAAAAGATTTTAAATAATATTGCCCAAACTCATCTGAAACACTTTTTTCTAAAACATGCGGGCCAAGTTTCTATTCTGACAAATTATTATGCTCGTTGTGATAGTGCAGAGAAATATTTTAATTGCAGAATATAATTAAAATCTTCTTTTGCCTTCAAAAGACGAGTAATTACACTGGCGAAAACCTACTTATCTATTCACCTCATGACATATTATTATCATACCATCTCTTTACCCACATATGCGGTGAAATCGATGCCATTGTTATTCAAGTAGAATAATGTGCACTTCAGAAGTCGTTCAGAGTTTTCCAGGTAAATAAAACTCATGGAGGGTACTTTGAAATGGGTTTCAGTCGGCTTTTAGGCGTAAACTTTAACGCGTAGCGTGAAACGGGGTTAAGGGCGGACAAATGAAACGTATGAAAATGGTTATACAGGCTTAGCTCACGGATAATGGTTTCCGTATTCCAGTGTTCCCAGTATTCTTAACAGAGATTATGAAAAGCAGACATTATAATATCCTGGTAACATTTGTAACGTTCCTAAAAAATAACTTTTAGTCCGTTAATTTCATTATCAAAAAATATTGAACACGTATAGTTTTATTTGTCAACCAAACAAGTAGGTAATTAGGTACTAAGTTATGATGCGTTGAAGTTCCGCGTGACGTAACAAAGTGCTAAACTTTTAAGCACGTCACGGGCCCTTTCTTTTGAACTTCGGCGCGCTTTATCTCTTGCAAATTTTCATTAGTTTGAAAAAGTGAAAAACACGTGTGTCCAGTATTTTTCGTAAGTTAACCGGCGGACTAATTCAAACTCTTGCTTTTTTTTACCCAGGAAATAATAGGGATATTATGGTGCCGGAGACCGGCGTCACCTTCGGCCGTCTGAGAGTGCCTTAAACACGTTCCGACTATAAAGGGAAGATTGAAGATTCAAGTTCCTTTCTAGTAGGTAATAAAATTCAGTTATTACAAGACCAGTTAAGACTCAAATGACACGTGTTGTGTGTTGGTACCTAATGTTCGTAACATTTACTTCAGAATGAAAATAAAAATAATAAATATCGGCCCCATGGCGAGTGTGAAAAGTCGGGAAAATGTCAGAAATGTTAGTTTTTAGATATTTTTGCGAAATAAAATAAAGTTTTAGATACCTATCAGTAATTTCATGAAAATCGTTTTGAGTGTCTGCTTTTGCATCATTAGGAATACAATATATTTTTTTAAAGTTATCTAGTATCTAGTTACAGAAATGAGTTAACTTATTAGGTAAATAAACTTAAGACCCCGAAGACAGGTCATTAGCTCTTAAAAAACCTTTAGTCGTTATGACTAAGTTTTCAAACCCTGAGGTTAAGCTATTTGTAGACTTATTTTCTCTAAACTTAAGGTGGATTCGCTAATCTTTGTTTTGGGCCGCATTTCCACCAAAGATGAGCGAGTAACTAAGTACTGAGCGAGTTCAAAAATAACTTCGTGCTCATTTTCACTGTCACATAACCCTGTCTTAATATTTCAGATTGCTTGCTAACCAGCTTAGAGTCGCAATGAATATTTTCTGAAACTATTAAAATCAGCTACGTTAAACAGTTTCTATTAAAAATTAAAAGAATGACTGCACGCAGGAAGATTTAATGAAGTCTACAACGCCGCTTTTGTGGCGGAGTTTTGGGCTGACGCTGTGTAGGTTTGTTGTCGACACGACAAGAAGAAGAAGAAGAGAATGACCTAACGTTTTTTAGCGTAGCGTGACCTCACGTTACGTAGCTTTGTGTAAGCCTTAAACATCAGGTGTAACGTGCTCTAAGAAGTAAAGTACCTACTTAGTCTGTAAGGTAAACTTTGGATCAAGTTTTCCAAGAATTTATTGACATTATAGGAGTTTTGTTGAACTTTTTGAAACTAGATTTTTCTTAAAATTCTGCTCATTTAGAATCTAACGACTTTGTCAAATTGCTTTTATTTTTCAGAGTTACTCTTATAAGCCTATAGGCGTGTTTGAATATTAAAATACCACTAAATACTTAGTTAAAACGAAATTCAAAGTAGAATGAGATACGCAATTTGAACTACATAAAATTATAACTTAGTATGTAGTAGTATGATTAAAATAATCTTTAGAATTTAACAGGAAGTACAAGTTTGTTAAGGACACTGAAACTTAGAAAGATTAATGGCCCCTAATGAAACCTTTAAGTGCTACCATAGTAAGTAGGTGCTTTAAAACTAATTCAAACTCCTTAGCGTTACTTGTGTTTCAGGTGAACTTCATTGATCATAAGTTTAGGGCTATTACCCTTCGCATACTTTGGTATAATCCTTCGTCTCTTTGAGGGGATATGTTTTTAGAATAATGTTATTTTTATTGATGGCCAGCCAGATAATCTGCTGACGTATCGGGTTGACATGTTTGTGAGGAAAGCAAAACAAACGGGAAGTGTTTTTGTAGCTACATATGTACATAGATATGTTACAATATGTTGATAAGGTTATGTCTTTATCAAACTACATCACGCTTAGAAAAAAGCGACTGTTACATGATAAAAACAAAGCTTCCCAGAATTCTTTCGCTGTCCTTGTCTAACCTAAGACATTCCTTTGTACACTATACTGGAAGTGGCTAACAGATTGGTGCGAAAGCTAGCGAATGTTGTTCAAAATTGCGTTTAGGTACAGAGGCTCCGTTACGCAATCCGAGCACGTGCCACAGGTGCGTAATGAAAATATTCAATGAGCATCGTTTCTTTGGCGATTGAGAAAACATCCTTATTTATGAGACCAAGGTGAGTTGTAAAAGAGTAGAGTTGTGACATAGACGATTTTTTGAAACTTATAAACTACTAGCGGCCGCCCGCGACTTCCTTCGTACGCGTGGATCCCATTTGACCCCCTTGGGGGTGGAGTTGTGTAAAATACGTTCTTAGCACCTAGGTTCTGAAATGGGGGTTCCCATGTAAAATTTGAGACTCCTAGCACTTGTAGTTTCTGAGATTTCATGATGAGTGAGTGAGTCAGTCAGTCAGTCAATCAGTGACCTTTTGCTTTTATAGATATAGACTAGCGAGCTCGCTATAGCGACTCCTAGTCTTCGGTGATTCAGGCACGTGTTACGTAAGAATATTCAAGTTCAAATCTTCACCTGACAATAGATTTGGTGGTATTGAAATTCAATCAGTCACAGGCTTCTAGGAGGGTGCTAGCATACTCAAGTTAGCATCTGTTTTGAACGTCGCCTCCAAATACGGGTCTCAGACCCGAGTAACGAAACAACAACAAACACTCGAACCAATATCAAATATTATAGTCATGTGATTAGTCTAAATTTAAATTCAGACAAACAAAAGCCTCAATCTATGCTTGAGATGAAATTGAGTTTCAAACGTCATTTTATATTATGGAATATTCGATAACTTAGTTTAACTTTTTGGTCCCGACGCATAAGAAGAAATTTTGTATTTATTTACCTACAAACTTTGTGCCCACGGCTTTCAGCTTGTCGCTAATCGGCATAACTTTCGGGATGAGCCAATTTTACCTTATAGAAATTCCGTTGTCCCTCATAAAGCGCGGTTAAACGCCACCGCATGCTACATGAGGTTTTCATGGAATTTTCCATATAGGAGTCAATAAGCCTTGCTTATATTGCGAGGCACAACAGATGAATACAATTGCACATAGTTATTATGAACTACATACAATGCAACAATGCAATACTTCTTGTGTAGGTAACTATTTGTTTAACTAAACGCATATTTCGATTCATCTGGGGGCACGGCAGTGCCCCCACCAAGTCGAGCAAAAAAGCGGCACGGCCGTACCATCCTTTTCTCGAAGCAATTCAGGCCATTTTCGACCCCCTGTAACTTCGTTGTGGATTAAACTAGAAGACTGAATTTTCAGTAACCATGCAGGCATTGTAAAGACACGGTATATTTCAAATTTCATTCAAATTGAACCAGTAGTTTAAGAATTATAACGGGTCAAAGTTTCTTAATTTTGTCACTCACTGACTCACTGACTCACTGACTGACTCACCGATCATCAAAATTCTAAGGCACTTCTAGCAGACCTAGAAGCTTCAAATTTGGAATATAAGTAGTGTTTGGTGTATGAATCAAGGAAAAACTAAAATATTTGGGGGCACGGTAGTGCAACCGCCAAGTCGAGTAAAATTATTCAATTTCGGTCCAGTTTTCTAGATACATAACTGCTGTCTAGGCTTAGATTTTTTCATACAAATGTTTTTTCTCGCTAATTCCCGTTCCCGCAGGAATTTTGCAATATCCTGTTATAACTAAGCTTAAAGTTTACTAAGGTACCTGCTTGCCAAATTTCAAGCGTCTAACTTAAGCGGTTTAGATTTTTCATACAAAAGGATTTTCCCGCTAATGCCCGTTCCTGTGGGAATTCCTAAGTATCCTATAACCTGCCCAGGAGTATGAAGAATAATTGTACCAAGTTTCGTTAAAATCCGTCGAGTAGTTTTTGTTTCTATAAGGAACATACAGACAGACAGACAGACAAAAAATTTACTGATTGTATTTTTGGCATCAGTATCGATCACTAATCACCCCCTGATAGTTATTTTGAAAATATATTTCATGTACAGAATTGACCTCTCTACAGATTTATTATAAGTATAGATTAAAATTGTCTCTACCTTTAGCGGAGAATAATGTTGTGGCAGGCCTTTGTTCAAACGATCATTGCAAACGTTGTGATAGGGATAGAGACATGCGATTGATTGGTTTTACGAAGGTAATACCTACTAATAATAATAAAAACCACCGGTTATAGGGGCATTTTTTGGAGAAATGTAACAAATAACCAAAAAAACACGAATTTAAAAGCGGATTTTTTTCAAAAAATATCATTTTTTATTATTTGTTGGCCTTTTTTGTGTATTTTATGTATTTTTTTAGTATTGCCTGTTATTTAGCATTATTACTGTTTTTATTTCATCAGGATATACTGCTTAGTTTAAAAGTTATAACGTTTTCTTTACAATAAGTAATTGGAAGAAAAAAAATTCTATAAAAAATTAAAAAAAAAAACTTAAAAAAATTTTGACCTCTTTTTTGTCGATAAAAATAGGTCTAGTTTCATCTATTATCATATGTACACTTTAACGTGACTCACACTGTATTTCCTAAGGTTTTCATAATTTTAGTATTCTTGACTAGACCACTATACTACGAGTACCTATACATATAGGCTATAAATGTGTATAATGTAGTTGACAATAAGCCTTGAAACGCGATATTAGGCATGTGTAATTTGTGGAGACTGCCAAGTCCTATTACCATCGTTGCGTCCAATGACCGACTGCACCCCATGCCAGCAGCGTAGCCAAGTGCATTACTTTTATGGGACTGACGACCATTATCTTGATTCCTATTTCGTCGCCTGCTTACGCAATGTGGGATAATAATATTAAAATCATAACGAGAAGTCATTCTTGCTCCCGACTTATATTTCTAACAATAAATGAAGTGATAGGTAGGTTAAGCACTTCATACAATTCATTCATAATCCCACTGTTTATTATTGAGGTGTTCGTAAATATCTTATTCTACACAATACTCCGCTTTAGCTTAGGTAGAGCTCATAGAGAGTGAGTGAGAGAGAGAGAGAGATCGTAGCCTTACGATGGCCGCTGGGGTAGATAAGTTATTAAGTTCTCGAGTTGCGACCATGATCCGAATGATGTAGTCTGGGCAGGCCTCCTATTAGGTGGTCCGACGCTCTGGTGAAGGTCGCGGGAAATGAGTACCTGGATACTGGCAGCGCACCTTGGGGGAGACCTTTGTCCAACAGTGGACTTCATTTGACTGAAACGTACCTACCTAACACAATGAACCTTTTTTTTAATAACGAGTCAACAGGAATTTAGTGATTGGTTCAATAAGAATTAGATAAACATGGGTTATCCCGTTAAGAAATTGGTCTTTGGCTAGCGATCTATGCAGACATGACGCCGGTGTCACCGAGTACCAGAAATATAAATAATAGTTTCCACTTGGCAACACGTCCAGGCAATTTTGCATTCTTATGATAGTTCTGTTTCATATTTTCAGTGCCATGGAATAATGTAAAATACTTTGTTGGTATTCCTACCATGATTAAACAGAACCTGAGAGGGAAATAAGATTCAAGAATCATATTTATATCTATTGACACGTTTCAGTATCTTGTTAAAAGTTCGATAGTTTATCTTTAATCCTTTAAATGTAAGGCAAAAAGAAACATTTCAGAGTTAAGGCATCAAAAGAAAAGCAGAAAAAGTCAATCACTTTAATTTGTAAGGTTATAAAACGAATTCTTTCTAAAAGCGTCTATTAAGTTAATTAACAAACTTTGTGCAGTTAAGCCGTATTAACTAAATGGCTTGTAAATGATTTGCGTTGGCGGCACTTACCTACTTTAGTTTAAATAATTTAACAGTACCTACCTAAAAGTGTCTGTTGTGAAACTTAATTAATCGTTTCAAAATATCTTCTCTCTAACTTCTTACTGAATACTTCTACCACAAAGTAAAGGATGGATAATTTCCAACCAATAACTAATATGATCATAGAACTGCTGACATGGCTCAGATTTAAAGGTTCATCACCTTGGACTTCTTCGTGGTGAAATAAATAATCTCCTCGATCCAAGTAATGAGAGTAAATCATTTCTATGATGCCCCCTTCCACAATTTTACTTAAAATATGACTTACTGGAGCTCGCAGAGGGGCGAATTTCTTGAAATACAAAACAGCTGGACTGTTGACAATTTTTTCAGGCAATATTTGCAGTCGTTTTGTGCCATTGTACCGCATCATGCTGTGTACCATGAACTCTTTGTTCACTGCTATAACAAAATCAGAAGCTCCATTTAATAGTTCATCTAGAATGAGCTGGGATTCGCCAAATTGTACAATATCCCATTTTTCAAATACGGTTTCATCTTCCGAATAATAATCGCGTAATGACTGCAATCCACCGAAATGATAATTCTTTTTTAATACCTCATCGAAATTTTGCAGGTAATCCTCATACAATAGAACCTTCATAGAGCTTACAAGCGCAGCTTGGTACGCTGTTCTTATAATATAGCAAAACCATATCCAGCTGAGAATTATGACCCTTAACGTTACTTTCGAGGGTAGTCTAACCAGAGGCATTCCCAAAAACACTGCCCACGAATAAAAAAATAAACTAAAATGAGTAGATCCAATACTTAGAATGTGTCTAATATCCTCCCATAATTTAGTATTCATGAAAAAGTTCATTAATATTATGACAACAAATATACAAAACAGAGCTATTCTGGATTCAACTTTTAAAGGATAAAACAGTTTCTCATACGATGGACTAAGGGCAGGTAATCTTGTTGCCCATACTATATCGATACTCGCATACGTGAAGGATATTTGGAAATTCCCGTTGATCTGTGGAGTGAGAGGTGCTGCACACAATGAAACGTGAGCTCGTTTATTGAACACGTCCCCTAAGGATCCCGTCCAATTATGATCTTTGTAATAGCCCCATTCATTGGATTCTGCAGTTCTTATCACCAATGTTGCGTTTAGTATTTCTGAAACAAGTTTTATTATGTCACCATCGGCACCAGATAGAACGAGAGTGCCGTTCGTTCCGTTTGTAAGATGCGTGAATGGAGGTTGCTCCAATGTAGATACAATAAAGGCACATTTATGCATGTTACTGTATTTCTCCGGATACAAATTCTTGAAACAAACGTCGTTGTTACAGTTGGAAAGTTCTATTAGTATCGGCTTATTGTTCCTACAATTTCCTGGGAGCACCGGGAAATAGGTAAATACCAAAGGTTCACTCCCATATTCAGTTGGTTTCAAATAAATTACATTAGGCATGAACAAGCGTGAAAATGTATTAAACATGTCATGTTCATCACATTTGTAACTCGCAGATGAGCAGATTATAAGGAACATAGCAGTGTTGTCGTATCGGTTCTGGATTAGCCACTGCAAAGTTTCTGATATTTCCGTGGTTTCTTGTCCAAAGATAACAAATTGAGGAACATGTATATGATGTTTTGGGACGAACTTGCCCAGTTTTAAATACACAGTTTGATTGTAGCCCCTTAAAAATGGATCTACGCCGATATTAAGCATGGTATTAAACATGACAAGTGTAACGAACCGCCACTCGAAATTGTAGAAGGCTACTTTTGCTGCTATAGTACCAATCTTCACTATAGCTTCTGGATCTTCGAGTTCACCGACCAAATCATCGGGATTGTCAGATGTTTCAATTTTATCCGAATACACGTCGACGTCCATGTTTGCAGTTGTAGCAATAAGTAAAGCAACATGCCGTGCAATCTGTTATCCGCTACATAGTAGTTATAACAGTGTTAATGTAGCTTCTAATTGCGATTTTACATGTTGCTTTGTTATAAAAAGTGAAATAGTAGATAAATAGATAAAATAATTTCCTAGGTATAAATTCGTCATCAGTCAGTGAGCAATGTGGAGCAATTATGAAAATGGACGGTTCGATAATATTTATGGATGAAATGATTTAACTTTACAACATACAATACCAGTTGTTTGAAAAATTGCATCGTTACAATATTAGCTTGTTACATTTTTTCTTCGTGTTTTATCGATAGAGGTGGTCTAAAGCACATAGGGTACATCTAAAGTACTCACACACTAAATTTCGATTTTACTACGATGGAATTTCTTCTTAAATTTCACACTCACACGGCATTTCCATCTTATAAAGTGGCTATGGCATAATTCTATCATAAATGCTACAGAGGACACAGCCCACCCAACAAAAATAATAGCATAGCACCCTGTATAGTGCTCCAAAGTAATGGGTTCGTTGCCTTGAGACGTTAAAGTCTTTTTACTGGCATATTTTTTATATATTTTCTCCGTCAAACCAGATTCAACCAAGCGCCTCAATATTATGTTTATAGATTCAGCGAGAGGTGAAAATTTCTTAAAAAAGATCACCGTTGGGCTATTCACAATGTTTTGCGGTAGAATATGTACAGACAGATTATGTTTCTTGATGACCGATTTCGCAGTTTCTAAATTCATGGCCAGCACAAACTTTTTTGTTGATAGGTTCATCAAAGTTGATACTATATCAGAAGGATTAATATTTTTCCAGTTGTCATAAACTAACGGATAATCAATAAAGTATTCTTTCAGAGCTAGACCTCCGCCAAATGAATAATTAGCGTCATATGCTTCTTCAATAGTATTAATTTCACCATAATAAAAGTTCCCCTGTAAGGAGTTAATAAGGCAAACTTGGTATAGTGTTCTTATAAGAAAACAGTACCATATCCAAATTAAAGTCAGATATAGAAATTCTTTCTTTGCAGGCAGTTTTGTAGAGGGCAGTCCCATACATATCATCCAAGAATAGAAGAGTATTCCGTTAGACTTGCTTACTTCTTCAGAATTATACGACGGCCAATATTTGCTATTGGCAAACCAAGCGCACATGCCGACGAAAATGAAACTAATAGCCAATACAATCTGCGACAATGTTTGAAACGGATAAAACAGTTTCAACGATGCAGGTTTCTTTTCAGCTGGGTGCGTGATCCAGGCGACATTTACTGAGTAATATGCGTTTGACATTTGGAAGTGTGAAAATCTGGCTAGGGTGATTGCAGCTGATGTCATGGAAAAGTTTGCGACATCATCTAATAAGTCTGCTAGAGATCCGGTCCATACGCCATCGTCACCGAGACTCCCCCAGCCAGTTCCTATTTGAGGGGTCATCATTTTCAGGGTCGCGTTTAGACGCTCAGCGATGAGAAGTAATAGATCGCCGTCCGCACCATGTGGTATCCCATTTGTTATGTTCATATACGGCATCTGCTTGAAAGTGGTGACTATAAGCGGACAGCAATGTAAGTTACCCATCTTCTCAGGAAATATTCCGAAGCATGTGTTGTTATTAGGACACGGCACTGAGTCCATTTTGGCCGGTCTGTGAATGTAGCAACTTTCTTCAGGGTAATACGTATATCCGGTCACTTCATTCGTTGGCTGTTTCATAAAAACGACGTTTACTATTTTATGGTTCCAAAACATGTTCACAGCTCTAGTTTCATCACATTCTTGAGGCGTTTTAGATAGACAGATAATGATAAAATTACCCGAGTTGTCGAATTTATGAGACTTCATCCAGTTCAACATCAATTCAATGTTGTCAAGGTCGGTGCCAAATAGAACGAATTGTCTTGTTGTCTCAGCAAAGGAAGGATAAAATGATCCATTTCCTATAATTTGTCCTTTTTTGTATAGACGCAAAAATAGTCTTACACTACTAACAGCGACTGTTGAATTGAAAAGCACGAACGTTGTGTAACTCCATTGAAAGTTGTAGATTGCTATCTTAGCAGCACTTTCTGCAATTTTATCGGGTGGTTCGATGGGCAAAAGTAAATTAAAATCCACGTTGGTGACAATGAACATGATGTCCATTGAACTGTCCGCGTTAGAATAGTTGTACAAATCTGGATAACAATGGCGATTTTTATCGAGTCACGGAAGTGAATTAGTACCCACCCAGCACGTTATGGTTTCATTGCATTGTAATTAAAACTTTAAAGTCCATTATGTTCTCGGTTTGCTTATTGGTTCACATAGCTCCATTTTACAGTTGTTAAGCTTTAAGTTTATTTCGATATAAAATTTTAAGATACCATGAATGAAAAATGATCTGCCGGAAAATCGGTCGATTTTTTAATGGTGGTCTAAAGAAATGAAACGAGTATGTAAAGCAAGTTCACAAAAATTATGTAGAAACAGGCTACAACAGAAAAACAAATGAATTATTTTGAAGTAATGAAAAAATATAGGTCGCGCAATGAAAGTTGAGGCGAATAATACTAACACTGATGTAAAATTAGAACAGAACATACAAATCAATCAGAAGTTGCCAGATGAAGTCTTGAACACAAGCAAAGATTGTATATGCGCAACAAACGTATACAATCTTTGCTTACGTGTTGTTTCAATTTTTGGTGCGCGACCTATAGCAAAAAAATACGTTTTAACTTATTCTACGAGTATGGCAAAGTTTTATAAAGAAAACAACTCGCTTTAGCTGAAAAAAATTATATTTTATGAGAAATTATAATTTACAATATTTCATACAGGCATCCATCTTCAGTCGGAACTTAAGCTAAAATTCTCACAATCTCACGCAAAAGGTAAAGCAACGTTAGACTATAATATAGTTATAGCAATATTCTGTAGTCATCGCCCAACCGTAAAAATAAACAGAATCTCCAATACATGAATTTCAGTCCATTCGTAAGGAAGATACGAATCCGCGGCGTCGGCGCGGCGACGCGCGGCCACGACACGCGCCTACTCTACTGCTAGTACCCAATATTAGAGGCAGCCTCCGAAAAACTGTCCGTCTCCCTCACCCATACCGCCTGCACGGCTTGAGCGAAAGAGACGGAGCCGATATAAATCGAGTCGTTTAGCGGATTTTGACCTCTGCTCATTTTGTGCTGTGTTTAGTTTTGTTTTAGCTAACATTCCGATTTCGCGTGCTGGGCGGGATTAAATCATCTCCAAAGATAAATGCCGGAGGAATACACGCGCCCAGACGATCAGTTACGAATTTCGAGAGAACGCACTGCTCCTTACTACCGCTTTACGAATAAAGCGGCGAATGGAATACTGATCTATTCGCATGATTATAAAGCACAGAGTCGTGTGTGGCCTCAGCGCGTCGTCACGCGCGCGGTTACCACGCCGGGCCCAAACTAATTCACAATATTGCTGTACAATTGCACAAAAGAAATATAGTTTCTATGTACAGGGCATACACAGAGATTGCACTTCAGTGGGTTATTATATCAATTACAAAGTTTGTGCGATAAGTTATTATATTTCACATTATTTTGAGCATTTCAGACAGCTGTATATTAAAAAAAGCATACAGTTTTGCTATTGACAGGTCAGTTTGTCACGGTGTGCTTACATTGAAGAAATCGATATGCTTAAAATGTATAAAAAATAATGATAATGACACAACAACGAATAAGTTAATATTATGTTACATACCAAAATAGAAACTTTGTTTCTTACTATACATAAATAACTAAAGTAACACAACACACTAAATTAAGCATAGAATGATAGAACTATAAAATATGGAAAACATTTATAAACGTATGTATATTTGTGCTTAAGTTTATAATATAAAAGAATGCCAATAGCAAAACTTGGCACTGCACTGTCAGCTCAATTATTCACACACATTTAGACCCAAATGTACAATATATTACATTCATGTGGTAAAAGCTTTCGTGCAAAAAACATCTGATTCGGTTTTTACATTTACTTTTCACGTTCGCTTTATTGGTATTTCCCTTGGGTTTCTAGTAAAAAAAGTTTATATCAAATGCATCAAAAATGTCCTTAAACAACTAACGTAGTTAACTTCCTATATTTCACGTACGGCTAGCTGATTGGAATTTTCGTACACATTAGGAAAAAAACCAAATACACCAGACCATCGCATACATAAAGCCTACAGTTAACATAAATCATTTGCTTGACGTCAATTCGTGTAGAAAAACACCATCTTTAAATATAAACAGCTTAAATAATAAAATTCCAATGTACAAAAGTAACGTAATCTTTAAATACAATAATAAATATATAAATCTTCCAAGCTAACAGAACAAACGGTAGTGATATATTATTATGTTATATTGATATCTGTATAGAGACAGTCGGCGAGGTAGCGGGCCCGGGACACGCGGCCCGGGCGCGTCGAGGGTTCGAGACGTGGGCCGCCTCATCGATACCGACATCGAAACTATGACGAGGCTCCCACGAACTACTACACCATCGTCGATAGAACAGCAACAACTGTCTCGACCCACGAGGTTGATAAAATACGCATAAGTTCATTGGACTAGTTTGTTCAAATCCGTCTGGACACAATAAAAATGTATACTAATGTAGAAAGATATGGCAACAAACTTTACAAAAATCCTAAAACAATGACTAAAAGCAGCTCATGGTAAGGCCAAGACTCACCATAACTTTAAAATGCACAATTTAATATTCACTGATACAGACACTTACATAAATTGTGAATAACTTCATCATAAAAAAACATGTCAAAAAACCTGGCGCGTCGCGCGATCCGTGGACGGGGCGGGCCGGCCCCGATCCTAGTTTGGGTTAAATGACTTACAATCTATACTTATTTTTTTAAATCATTTTTTTAGATGAAAACTTCGTCTGATCTCAGTTCGTGAATTTACACATTCTGTCGTGAAGTGATGATGTTTAAATTATGTGTTTTACACAATCACAGATTTGTGTCAGTGACCAGGTGGTTTCGCTTAGACGAGGTTGTACTCCTTTAGGTTGGACTGTAGGATTGTGTCTTTGACCGCGGCGAACACAAACCGGATGTTCTCAGTATCTGAAATTTTTAAAATAACATTCATGTACCAATATCACAGTGCAGAACACAAAATAATTCGGAAGAACAACCTTGTATGTTTTAAATAAAACAATTTGTATAATAGATATCGAAACAGTAACGTGGAAATTGTAAAATAATTGACGCATCAAACTGTTCAAAGACGTTTTCTGTAGAACTTTACCTAAAATTATGAAGATCTGCCAGAATTCTTTAAATAATTTCAAAGATAAAAATGTATTACATACCTCTACTAATAAAGTGCCTTATTAGTATAATCAATTGATCACTGCTGTAAATAAGCGCCTAATATGTGGTGGCCACTGGTGTGGAAGTGTAAAAAGTATTTATTCATATTCATAATCTAAAAATACACCAGTTGGGCCACTGTGTGGGTTATCCCAGCAAAATGTTCTTTTAAAAATCTAATGACGCAAATAATTAGGACCTCTTATTGACTGACATTTTAAATTCGAGCCTTCAGCCGTTTACAAGAAAAACGGATTCTGCCAGGATAACGTTATCCCAGCTACTACTACAAAAATGGTGTACCAATTTTACCTGTTGGGTCTAGGTGGATGAAAAATATACCAAATAGATAGCTTAAATTCGAACCTAATTGTGCCCTAAAAATAAAATTCCAGGCCCCTCAGGTTTCGGAATTATTTGAGTTGTTACTGCGATATCATAACCTTTAAAAATCAAACTAATCAGTCCACTATCTCGGTATACCTAATATTACTTAATTTGTGACTAAAGATAAGTTTTCTCAAATCACTAGATTAAGACTAATACCACAGAATAATAATAAGTACTACGTACAGAAGTTCTACTTCGCGAAGGTATTTAAAAAAATGTATGCTCAATGTCATTAATAATATGGTGTAATTTAGCCTGTATCAAGAGTCAAGCACCACTTTGTTGACAAACGTCAGTGATCGGCACTGCGCCGAAGCTATAGGGCTGACTTCGGTAAAATGATGTGACGTGAGGTGCCAAACTGCGGAAAATGGCAGAGATTATTTAGGCAGTTAAATACTGCACAGTATTTAGTACACCATTTTCTTTATTTTCTTCCATCATTCATACACAAGAATAGAATACGCGTGCGTGAGTCCATGTTCGCTCGTATGTGAGGCCTTGTCGAATAGTATCCTGTAGGTGGGCCATCGTGCGTGTTTTGTTTTCGATGTAAACTCGCGGAGATGAACAGGCCTGCTAATACTAGATAGTTTTGGAAATAGTAATTACAAATTTTTATATTGTTATTTGAAGAATAAGGCATAAAAGATGCCCTAGCTAGATATTATACTTGTACAAATCTCATATAACTGAATACTTGACTATGACGTCACGTTCGAGCAATTTAAGGAGAGTATAGACTAGAGCATTTACTTGTAACAGAACAACGAGCCGCTCTATGAAATGTTATAAGTGTATCATCCTATCACCTTAGATTAATAAAACCTAGATGGATAGTCTTCATACAAACGCTTCGTCAAGAGTGAGGCAAAAATCTAATGTCATTAGTGTCATCTTTTTTGGGGAGTGTGGACAATGAAGGCGATTTACCCGAAAGTAGGGAGATTTTTAATAAGTTTTAAATTATTTACAACAACAAAACGTATCATGTACTAACTTATTTATTAAATTCACAGTAAATAACAAAACTAAAACTTCACTTTAAAAATTATGTTGTAAAACTTGAAATAAGCGTTTTGTATGGAGAATTCCACGAAAAATGTTTTTTTCCATACTAAAATTTTTGCGATTTTTTAAGGAACTACAGATTCAAATTTTGTTTTGAAAATTATATGAAAGAAATTATTTAGGTACTAATGAATATTGAAGAAAAAAAAAAGTGTTTGGTGTATGAATCAAGGAAAAACTAAAATATTTGGGGGCACGGTAGTGCAACCGCCAAGTCGAGTAAAATTATTCAATTTCGGTCCAGTTTTCTAGATACATAACTGCTGTCTACAAAATACAAAAAGAAATGAGATCCCATCAAAAACAATACTTGTCAAAAAAAACAAGTCTCGCAACTCAGTTGTTCTACGGTAAAAAGTTGTGAGATCCATGTAATACCAAGTCCAGCCCCCTTAGACAAAACGCACTTTTTGATCGAATCGAAAATCGAATCCGTCAAAACTCCATACAAAAAAGGGGCTTTTCGACCACTTTTCGACTGGTTTGCGATTATAATTTGCACTTTGTCTAGACCCACAGGCCAGGAAATCTTTAACGTTTCATATAAATATATTGACTTGGCCATCGCATGAAAACACGTGTAAATTAAATTTAGTGCGATGGCCAAGTCAATAATTTATGTAAAACGTTAAAGATTTCCTGGCCTGGACTTGGTATTACATGGATCTCACAACTTTTTACCGTAGAACAACTGAGTTGCGAGACTTGGTTTTTTTGACAAGTATTGTTTTTGATGGGATTAATTATTCAGACTTTGAGATATTGCTTGACTTATTCAGTTTAATTAAAAGTCTGATTGACTGGACTTACTTCTAACTGGTAAGCGATTTCCACGCTTATTTCAGACAGCGTTTACTAAATAGATACGTATTGCTTACACAAAACATTGCGCTCGTTTTTTAGTGCCGTGTATAAGCTGCATGGTCATTCCCGTGTTCAGCCAGCGTGACAACGTGTGACGTGAATTACCGCGGTATCACGCAGCGCAGTACAGACGACACATAAAGGTACACATTGTGGTACCTTTTGCAGCATAATAATACCATTTTACAGCAAAATGTTTAGTCTGTTAGCTACTGTACATTCACTGCTAATTTTTTATATTAATTACAGCGGTTTAACAATTACCTCGTTAACGAAGTTATATTTGTAACCCATTTTCTGGGAATTATCCCTGCTAATGGATCTGTCACTCCTAATGTAGGATTAATTTCTGAGCAGGTAAACAATAAGATTAAATGTATCTACCTAATCATCAGTAAGGGTCCGATTAAGTATGGGTATTTTACGAAATAAATTTATAGGTAGGTACCTACCTACTATCTATCCACGCAGACATCATTTGATTAAACGATTAATATAAATCTTTATTACTAGTACTTCTCAGTAGATACCATTGATTACGATCAAATTAGTTTGCGATCCTCAATTTTAGGAATAAGTTACTATATCTCAAGCACCTTTTCTACGGTATTTGCGTAACAACCTATTATTATAATTCTATTTACATTTTGCCTTTGGTGTTCTAAAATTATGATTCCCATTTCTACAAAATCAATGTCTCCTTTTGCCGGATTAAACTAACGAATGCGGACAGCTTAAGGTTATAATTAAACCTAGTAATGTTATCTTTCCACCACCAACCTAGCCAATATGCAAACGGGATAAACTTTCTTAAATTCATACAATTTAGAATTGAATTTATTGCAATAGTTACCAATCAATAACGATCAGAAAAACCTTTACCCGGATAAAAGTTGGGAGCTTTTACCAATCCTGAAACAGGTCAGGTAATGATAAATGTAGGTACCAAATCTCCAACATAGCATAAAAATCCAAATAAAAATTATAACGATTCCCCACGGAATACGGGAATAGTGATTCGCGTCGAATCCAAATACAACGAGTGGAGCAAAAGGTACGTCAATATTTTACTGTCGGAAACGCCAACATATATTCATACTAAAGGATTGGTCATAAAGGCAAGAAAGGTACAATGCGTGAATTGAATTCCTAAGCTAGAGTGTGAAATTCCTCGAAAATCTGTCTCAAAGTTTCAAGCAGAACTGTTAGGCTGCCTATTTATTTAAATGCTGTACCAACTATATACAGACAGAATTCATACTTTTTGCGATCGGCATATGAAATGAACAAATTGGTTACCATTCCAGAACTCGATATGTTTAACTCGAAACCAAATCTCTTTAGGGACACATGACTAAATCTTGGTTCGACGGTTCATCAGCTGTTTAATGTAGGTAAAAATAACTGTCTCATGTAAGCGAATTGGCTTTTGTTGTTTAATTGTATTGCTACACATATGCGAAAACATATAAATGGTGTATAGTTTCTTAAGCAGTGGTTATTAATCTGTTATTGTTTCACTGTATGTTTTCCGAACAAAATAAAATAAATGAATAAATACCTAGGTCACGAAAAACATTTAAAGCACCCTTACCTAAATATGTGTAATTTTAAACAATGATTACTAAAATACGAGTAGATTAATATTTTCTGCTTGTTGGTTATTTATTTAATGGGACAGTTTTACAATTTTCGGGAGCCGACCCCGAAAATAGAATATTGTAACAATGAGAGTTGCAAATGAATACATTATTTTCGTTGACAAACAAACGATAAAATAAGACGGTTTTATTATGAACGTTAATAGACATAATTTATCAAGAGCTTTTTTCATACTGTTTGAGTTCTTTAGGAGTTTTTAAAGGTTAGGTACTTAAACAATCTATGAAATCAGTAAGTTGATGAACTTTCCTATGTAATTAATTATCAAAATTATAATTTGAAAGGAAATCTTTAATCTATTTTTTTATTTATCACGAGCGCAAGCGTTTCAGTTCACCCTTGTGGCTATGTCTCTAATACCTATGCTAATACCTACGTTTTTTATCTGGAAAAATATGTATTAGGATTGGCTGTTTTATGCCCTAAGGGAAGTAATCTAAAACACTAATATTTCTTTCAGAAAAAGCGGTCGAACAGAGCAGTTAGAAAAGGTGTTTTGAAGCATAGAAAGAAAACGAAATATGGCGTGAGCGAGGACATATAAAAGCATAAATTTATCTACGTGACTCTGGCTCTGACATGCATTTTTCAAACTTGTAACCCTACCTGCCCCTAAATTTAATAATATCCAGACGACTGCTAACCTTTTAACAAAAGTCTTTGTATTAAATTTAACAAGGCTTAATTGTGTCTCGTCGTACATTGAATTTATTTCTGAAAAGTTCTTATTGCAATCGTACCTATTCGAAATAAAGTATCTACTC